AACCCCCTGCTCAGGCAGGAAACCCTATACCATTTCGGACAAATGGCTGTCCAGTCTCTTCTTAAAAACTTCCAGTGTTGGAGCATTCACCGCTTCTGGAGGCAGGTTGTTCCACTGGTTAATTGTTCTAACTGTCAGGAAGTTTCTCCTTAGTTCTAGGTTGCTTCTCTCTTTGGTTAGTTTCCACCTGTTGCTTCTTGTCCTGCCTTCAGGCGCTTTGAAAAATAGCTTGACTCCCTCTTCTTTGTGGCAGCCCCTGAGATATTGGAACACTGCTATCATGTCCCCCCTCGTCTTTCTCTTCATTAAACTAGACATACCCAATTCCAGCAACCGTTCCTTATATGTTTTAGCCTCCAGTCCCCTGATCATCTTTGTTGCTCTTCTCTGTACTCTTTCTAGAGTCTCAACATCTTTTTTACATCGTGGTGACCAAAACTGGATGCAGTATTCCAATATATTCCAATATATTAATATTCAAGAAAAATGGACATAAAATAGAGGAATCCTGATAAATTTATGCAGGAACATCCAGGATGGTATTTAAAATAATCTCCTGCCTGAACTCCACTGGCATTTAATCACAAATTATGTAGTGACTTCTTCTGTGTTTCAAGCAAACCCTAGTTGTTGCTTTGCTGCTTGTTTTGGTTCTCAATTCTTCCTAATTAATCAATCAAATCCAACACATGGAAATTAGCTTATTTGTTTAAAATCTGTGCATAAATGAATTGGTTGGGAATATAAAGCCAGGTATCAATTAGCATAATACTATATTTCCAGGTATAAGACCCTCAATAAGATAATCATTTATGAATAATTATCCATTACTCATTTATGGGGGACCAGATCCTTATGGATTCAATGAGGTTTACTTCTGATCTTATATGTATAGAAATGCTGTCATCTGCAGCACGATCTATACTTCTATATCAGGGGTCTTCAAACTTGGCCCTTTTATGACTTGTGGACTTCAACTCCCAGAATTCCTTAGCCAGGCACACTGGCTGAGGAATTCTGGGAGTTGAAGTCCACAAGTCATAAAAGGGCCAAGCTTGAAGACCCCTGTTCTATATATTATACAGGCACTAGTGCACCCTCACCTTATATTGAAGATGGCAGCATAGTTATGTAAAACCTTTCCCCTCATATTGGCTTGCCACTGTCTTTTTCCAAGATTTTTTTAAACTTTCCTATTTAGCCTACTCCCCTAATATTTCTTAGTAGTCTCTCACCAAAACACTAACTAAACTGACCCTGTTTAGCTTCCTAAGCTCATGCAGACCAGCTAGATGAGGCATGTCAAACCTGTGACGTCATGTGACATTGCGCAACCTATCGCAACATTTTCCCCATTGCCGGCAATGGGGTGGGCGCGGTTTTGGCGTGATGCATCCGGCCCATAGGCCGGCAGTTTGACATGTCTGAGCTACATGCTATTACTTAGCCTAGCGCATGTATCTATACTAGTCATTATCAATGCAGCAATATGTCAACAGGTACTCTCAAGGAGAAGCAATAAATGGCTCCCATTATTTAGTTGCATATCAATTTACCTCAAGCGCACTGGCATGTTTATTCAAAGCTTCTGCAGTGTCACTTTTCACTTCCTCTGTTAGTAGACGGTTGGTGTTTTCAAGCCAAACCTGAATACTTTTCAGGAGCTCATCACATTCTTCCAACTTGCTAGCAGCCTTTAATATAAAATATCACATATTATTTTACACAAATTAATACACAGGTATCTGAAACATTGGAAGATCATCCAGATCCCCAAGCAAATTTCCACTCATGCAATAGGACCTCCTCATCATTCCCTCTGGAGCAATTTGTGGAGGAAGACGGAGTGTAAAAAATGTTATCTACTGACTTTTTTGTCAGTAGATTATACTCATTGTAGGTCTCAATTAAATTAAATTAAATATTTTCAGGCGATAGAACAGCAGTTAAAAATTTAATTTTTAATTTCTGGTTTAAAATATAAGAAGAAATAGGCATATATTAAAAATAGGGAGAAAATTTTAAAATAAAAAGAGAATAACTAGTTACTCAGGGAACAGACATATCTGCCTTTCCTTTTACATATATGATGTCTATTTTTGTTATTATTTTCAGATGCATGAGGATTATTTTCTTTAAAGGAAGAAATACGACATACTGTGAGATCTCAGTTAAGTATCTAGTTTTGTAAATAATGCCATATATTCAGAATCTAGGGAACCACTCACAGATCTGTGGAGCTCTATCAGGTCCTATGGAATTATATGCATGTAGAAATTCACCCTGTCAGCCAGATTGACAGTTGCATCCTTAAAATATATGTTCGCAGTGCAATTGATAAAACTGAGATCAATACAGTCCTGACTGGAGGGAATCTAGAACCATCCAGATTTCAAACACAAATGATCTTTTAAATCATCTTTTTACCCTGTTCAAGTTTGTAGTTCTACGCTCAGCATGCTGTGAAACTTGCTGGTATTGTTGCAGAGGTATCATCAAGTGATCCATCAATTCTTGAGCCTGGTGGGGATCTTGCTCCACTATATCTTGAACCTCTGAATCCAGTTCATTCATTTTATAATGCCAAAGGTCTAGCAAATCCCAGGCTCTCTGCATATAACAGAACAAAGGATAATGATGATGATGATGATGATGATGATGATGATGATGATGATGATAATAATAATAATAATAATAATAATAATAATAATAATAATAATAATAATAATAATAATAATAATAATGGTGGTGGTGGTGGTGGTGGTGGTGGTGATGGTGATAATGGAAGGGATCTTGGAGGTCATCTAGCCCAACCCTCTGCTCAGGCAGGAAACCCTATACCATTTCAGACAAATGGCTGTCCAGTCTCTTCTTAAAAGCTTCCACTGTTGGAACATTCACCGCTTCTGGAGGCAGGTTGTTCCACTGGTTAATTGTTCTAACTGTCAGGAAATTTCTCCTTAGTTCTAGGTTGCTTCTCTCCTTAATTAGTTTCCATCCACTGCTTCTTGTCCTGCCTTCAGGTGCTTTGGAGAATAGCTTGACTCCCTCTTCTTTGTGGCAACCCCTGAGATATTGAAACATTGCTATCATGTCACCCCCCTAGTTCTTCTCGTCATTAAACTAGACATACCCAATTCCAGCAACCGTTCTTTATATGTTTTAGTCTCTAGTCCTCTGATCATCTTCCTATTTTAAAATTATCACTCTGCTTCCAGGCTTACACCTGATTAAGGCAAGTCTGGTTTAAACAAGTAGCTCTACAGGCAGAATCAACATCAATTGGGAAGGAAAGCTCATTGCTTCATCCGGAGCAAAGAAGTGGGATGTTACCTTCTGAACTTCTGTTGCTTTTGCAATGTTCTCGCTTTTTTGTTGTAACATATTTTCAACAGCTTGCAAACCTTTGTTAATGTCTTCTATTTTTTTCTCTGTACTGTAGTGAGGGGAATTTTTCAGGAATTCTGTGCTGACCTATCATAGTAAAGAGAAACAGAAAGAAAAGTTCAGTCCCTGGATGGGAAAAACAGAAAATGAACTTAAAAACTAAACTTTCAGATTATGAATAAATCCCCACTCTATTTTAATTACCTTTTCTATAGTTTAAATTTTAACATCTAGCTTACAACTGTACATTACCCTAAGGTGTAATAAAATTATTTGGTGGTATGAAAAGTATAAGAGCTAATGGTTCTCAATCCAGAGTTGGTAGTTATTTACACATTCAACTACCACTTATGTCAAGGCTAGCAATACCAGGCAAAAGAGGGTGTAATTTATAAGAATGGCAGGAAAAAAAAGCTTTGAATCACTATGGGTATAAGAAACACTTATTTTCACTGACAGGGTTGATTTGACTTCATTCCTATCCACAATAAAGATTCTTATCTAGCCAAAATGTTTGTAAGTTGTCTGCTTAGTCCTGACTTAGGAAGATGGTCTAGCCTTCTAAAGTCAGGATTTACAAATGTACTAGAGTAAACCAACCACAGTATTTTATGGTTTACAGAATTATCTGAGGATTTCTTCAAATACTACATAGCAGGTTAGTGAAAGGGATAGTGAACAATAAAGGTTAGATGGAATTTTCTAGAGAATAAACAATAACTAACTAGAATAAATCTAGAGCTTCAGCAAGAATTTCCTTAAGTTTCAAAATCAAGTAGGATGATGCTACCTTTTCTTCCAGGTCATGTAACATTCCCTTGCAGTCTTCCAAATGTTCTTCAATATCAACTGGGATTATTCTATATAATTCATTGAACTTGATTTGTAGGTTGTCCATGATTTGCTTCTTACTATCAACTACTCTCTGAATTTCCTAAGAGGAAAAAAAATTAGAAATTATTTCAAGATTGGTTGGAGGAAATAACCTCTCCCACTATATCTGAGGTACAAACAGATATTTTTTTCATGAGAAAACTTTGCAGAGCAAAACCTGAAAGATGCTTCCTTTATTTTTTTTATTATACTTTTCAATTCACTGAGAATACATTAAACCCAATACTTTTCATTGTATTGTCAGGGCTTATTGACAGATGAAATACTAATGGAGAAACAATGCTTGTTTGATTTAAGCTCCATAAAGAGCTTTTCAGATTCAGAAGAGAAAAAAACCCTAAAAACATTTTTTAAAAAGTGACCAAAAGTACATTTGCTGGGCCATTTGTTTTGGTGTCATCTTAATGAAAATATCCAAACAAAACAGCTCCTTCCAGTTCTGCATGAAGGATATCATTTTCACAGGATAAAACAAACTTGACAGTTGTTAATATTTGTGGCCGAGAAACTCAATCTGGTCTACATCCTCTGGCATGAACAACCGTGAAATACATTTTTGTTGCCAAATAACTTGGATCTCTTGCTGAGAGATACATTTCATTTACAATTATTTGTTTTAATTCCAAGATATCAAACTATTGGATTTTGTTTCTTATTTCACAGTTAGAGAACAAATGTGAAAATAAAGGGTATGCGTAAGAACTGCAAAGAAACAAAATTTGGCTAAATGTTGGAAGACGTTTCTTAACAGGGAAAGGCGTTTGTGGAACAGATTACCTCTGTAAATGGTATTGTCTCCTTGATTGGCTGGAAAGATTCATTTACGGATTTCTGGACTATGCGAAGGTTTGGATTACAGCACCTTCAAAAATCTGTTCAAAAACTGGCATTCTGTGATTCTTTTTTTTTTTTTAAATGTGTTTGACTCTTCCGTTTTACAAATTTTTATTAATTTTCAAATAAACATATAAACATATAAACAAATACAAATGTGGTGCATCTCATTAAAAAACAAAAAGAAAACCTAGTCAATATATTTTCAGAAATGATCGGCGGTCCCCCCCCCTGCCTCCCCCCTCNCATCTCATTAAAAAACAAAAAGAAAACCTAGTCAATATATTTTCAGAAATGATCGGCGGTCCCCCCCCCTGCATCCCCCCTCACTCCTTCAACCTTCCTACCTTCCCTCTTCCTTCCTCCCCTCCTACCCACACCTCTCTCCTCCTTCCTCCTTTCCAACTATCCTACACATCCCATCACCTTCTTTTCCACCTCCTTCGGATGCAGTTTAGGGGTACTAGCCGATCATCTCCTCATCTCAAAAAGGGAAAAACCATTACATTATTTATCTATAACATATAAATACACCAGATTTTATATAATTCTACCCCTTCATCCCCTTCCCCCCCCCCCCCCCCCGGACTTCCCAGAACTGAGTACAGGGATAATCACATAACATCCCAAATCTAAATAAAACTACCCAAACATAATACAAACAAATATTAACATACTTTAACTCTAATATACAATAGTAAACTTAAATATAATATATATATATATATAAATTATATTAAGTATATAGAAATAATAAAAAAAGGAAAAAAAGTTTAATCAAAAGCTATATGATAATTATTCATTTCATACTTTCTCTGAATATAATCTATCCATCTTCTCCATACCAGAATTCAGTGATTCTTTATATAGCCTTTTCAATGCTCCTTCATGTATGGCTTATTTGGTCATCCAAACAAGCTATACATGAAAGAGCTTTCTAAACGCAATGGAAAAGAAATTCTACAGCATTCCCCCTCTGGTTAGATGTTTATGGATGACAGCATCTGTGCACCATGTTTGTTAAGCAGTTAAATGTAGAAGGCAAAAAAGGACAACACAATTCTAATAATTATAACTTTGGAAGAATCAGAGTATTGGAAGGATCAGAGATCAATGATACCCCACTTTGCAACTCAAGAATTGGATACAAAATGTTTTATTTTGCTAAAACCTCTTAGTCTACCATCTACAGAAGCAGCTTCTTACCAACCTCAAGTTTCAATGCCTTTTCATTAGGGGTTTCCAAATCTATGTCACAGAGCTGGGATATGATGTGCTGTAATGAAGCCTTCATAGCTTTCAGGTCTTCACTGCACTTGGTCCGGTACACCATCTCAGACTGCGCGGCCTCTTTTTCTTTTTGAGCCTTTTGACAGAGCCTGAAGAAATTCCATTAGAAATACTATTAAGAAGAAGACGGAGAAGGAGATCATGGTGGGTTCTGGTGTTTTGGAGGGCCTTGAAGACCTGGCTCTTCCCCCAGCTTTTCAGCTAGGAAGGGTATAGCCCAGGGGTAGGCAACCTCGGCTCTTTTATGACTCATGGACTTCAACTCCCAGAATTCCCGAGTCAGCATAGCTATGATGACTCGGGAATTCTGGGAGTTGAAGTCCATGAGTCACAAAAGAGCCGAGGTTGCCTACCCCTGGTATAGCCCATTTTTAGGCTTTTGTGTGTTTGCATGCTTCCTAGTTTTTTCCTTTGCTTATTTTTACAATTATTTTTTTTATTGTTTTACAGTTTTTCTGTTTTCTTGTGAACTGCCCAGGGTTGTTGTCAATTAAGAGATGTACAAATTTAATGAATGAATTAATAAGTGAATGAATGACCTGTTATGTCTAAATAAGGGGCCAAGAATCAAGGCAATTCTCAGGCTTGTGTCAATTCCATTTCATTAACATGAATGGCATAACCAAAAACAAAATTCAAGTGAAGTGCAAAGCAAAGTGCATTAACTTAGAAAGTACTGGTACTAGCATCACATGAAATAACGATATAATAGTTAATCAAACAAATGCATTTAAAACTTGGGTGTAAATAGATATTAAAACAGTCTTCCAGCATTCATCTTGGGAAGGCTTGGGTGAAGAAGTAAAATCTAGTTTTGTTTTGTTACAAATACCGCTCTCTGTCTGGAACTTATGCATATTTGCCAGATAATCTGGAGCTCAAACTTCAAGTTAATGAAGACAAAACCATCAGAATGTATTTTGAAATCAGAATTAAACTTTGTACAAAAAGTTGTACAACTTCACTCAGCAATAGTCTGTTTCATACTTACTCTTCTGTTCGCTGCTGCATGTTTTGAATTTCACAGAGAATAGGAAGACTTTCCTTTCCAGGGACACTCCCAGAGACACTCAGAATGTTCCTTAATCGGCAAAGTAATAAGCGTAGCAACAATTTCTCAGTATCCACACTTTGTATATAACTGCTTGCGGATTCCAGAAATTCTTCCAGTTCTTTGGTTGCTTCTTGTTTTTTGTCTTGGAGGCTCTCAGGCAGCTCTTCTTGAAGATTGTCTAGAATAATTGTTTCTCGTTCCAACTAGAGAAAAAATAAGCAAAACACAAATAAGAGAAACTTTGATGAGGGGGATACAAGGAAAGGACATCTAAGTGAATTGAAGTTGCATTTCTATGCACACTTATCTGGAAATAAGTTCCACTTAATTCAGGGGGACTTACTTTTCTATAAATATTTGCAGTATTGCTCTTATCAATGTGTTCCTTTATATAACAAATAATAATGGCTTTAACATATTCTTTTTGTTTAAAATAAGAGCATAAGGCATCTGCAACTACATGAAATGCTTGTGAGTTTAAGCCACTTCATTCCAAATCACATTCAATCCCTAATACAAAGTATAACAATGTCTGTTATTTGCTGATAGCTACTGAACCTATAACCATTCAAATTCACTGAATAACCCCAGATTCCAGTAAGAGAAGCTAACCTCTATATTTTCTCCACACCATGTATGATTTTGTGTATAGGTAGTCCTTGTTCATCAATCAATCATTCATGACCATTTAAACTTACAACAGTGCTCAACAAGGAGCCATGGTGGTGCACTAGTTAAAACATAGTATTGCGGGATAACTATGCCCACAGTCAGGAGTTTGATCCTGACCGGCTTGTTGGGGGCAATATGTTGACATTTGTAAATGGCTCAGAGAGTGCTGTAAAGGACTATGGAGTGGTATATAAGTCTAAGGAGACTAACAATTGTTCCTCCTACTTGTAGCCCTTACCGTCTTCCTCTGTCATGTGAATGTGATTTGGGTGCTTGCAACCAGCTCTCATTACAATAATTGTGGTATCTTATAGTCAAGTGATCCCCATCTGTGACTTTCACTACCAAGTCCAACAAGCAAAGTCAATGGGGAAGCCGGCAGGAGGTTGCAAATGGCAATGCAGAGTGCTGCAACTGCACAGGATTCACTTAATGACAGCAACTGGAACACTTAGTGATGAAGTTTTCAGTCCCAGTTACATTGTTAAATGAGGATTACCTGTACTACCATTCCACCCTTTATTCATTCTTATGTGACAAAACGGGCAGTTTTATCTTTTTAAACCTGCCTGTACTTAAGACAATCAAACAAGTCCACATACAACTGAGCTTGAAAATATCCGTCAAGTGTTTCCATATTACTCACTTCTTCACTGACAGATTTCCATTCTTGGTTCTGTTCTTCACATTTGCCCTCCCATTCTTTTGCAACACTGAATAAACAGAGCCATTTCAGCCACAACATTGATACAAAGGGTACAATCAGCACTCCGTCGTTTTCTTTGCAGATCAAGCTTAGCGACTGTGAGTCTCGCCTCAACTTCATTAACTCCTCTTTGATTGAAAGTAATTGGGACAACAGCATCTATAAAGGAGAGTACCAATAATAAAGTCTAAATTGTGAGTTTCAATCATCTAGTCAGAAAAAAGGCAAAGTACAAAAAAACAAATTGCGACAGTCAAGCCAAAGTATCTCAAGCCCCCATAATAAGCAGCAAATCTGTATCTAAAATTGTGCAGTTCACAGTAAGGAAGGAGTAACCAAAGAGTTTGTTTCTTTGCAATCATTGGTTTCAGGTTTAATACAGATTTGCATCCATTACTCACATTTTGACCTTAAGTTCAGCTAACCTTTGAAGACTAACATTAATAACTATTTGGAATACAAATACTGTAATTGTTATAGCTGTGAGGTGCATTGAATTCTCTATTGTAAACATGGTTCTGAAGACATATAAAGTATAAGCTATTAAAAATATATATAAAAATATTAAATTATGGAGATGATGATGACAGTCCTCACCTTGCTTTGTTGTGAATGCTCTAAAGCTTCTTTGTAGGATACTGGAATGTAGTATAAACACTTCCAAAGCACTTTTTCTGCATTGTTAAGCTCAATACATATCCTCTCTTTGGAGTTTTTGAAACTGTGATATTTTTCCATATACCTATAGATGCAAGAGTATTTAAATAAAACTAGTTAAATTGATCCAAATAATATAATTATGCATTGTCAGCTTTTAACTGCTGGTAGAAATAAAACTGGAATAAAGGAGAGAAATTGGCAGATCTTGCCAATCATTTTACATAGTACTTCATTAAAGAATGCACAAGAATTTCCAGACCCACCATTTTAGGCTGGTGTGTTTTACTGAATCATGAGCAGGTGAGCAACATAATAAACTGTGACCAGCTAATAGCTCAGTCATGATTTCTCAATTTTATCTCTTCATGTCTTCAATTCTCTAGTAAAGGAACTGTTGGCTGGTTGGCTATCTGGAATTTTACTAAAGAGCACTATATGTTATAGCACTTTGTTGCAGCTCTCAAAGTTTTCAATAGTATTAAAGAATCAATCTATATTTTGAAACCAAAGGTATACGTGATTCATGAATGAAAGATGTTGTTGCCTAGAAAGTATCATTTCAGGCTAAAGCAGCATAGATACTGTTCAGAGCCAGCTTTTCTACCTGCTTTACCTGAACATCCTAACTAAGACACTTATAAGGAGATGATGCTCAGAAAAAAGCTACCAAAGGGACAATCACCTTCTGGGTAAAAGAGAAGAAAAGACTTTAAAATGGGAGGCAATAAAAGGGGCATTGGCAGGAAGATGATACTGCTAAGTAGAAATTGTACATTGAGAATTAACATTGTTATACTGCATATCTGTGTTTTCATTGTACGACATGTTCAGTATTTTATGGGAAAGGAGGCTATAACATAAACAAGGCAAATTGGGAAAAGTGTTGTAGCTCAAAGATTCAACACACACCTTCCATTCAGAACATGGTAAGTTTGATTTCTAGCATGTCCAGGTAAGGATGGTAAACCCTGGACTAATTGTTCTCATCATTAACTCTAATAAGCACCAACAATTTTAGGCTAGATGGATCAGTCCTCTGATTCACATAAGGCAATGTCCTATATCCCTGAAATTATGTAAATGTTCATCCTACCTCTGTATGTAAGAATTTCTCTTTTGGCTCTGCTCTCTTATTGCCAAATTCTTAGTAGTTAGATCATCAAGTATTTTCTCCACCTGCAGTTTGGCTTTTGATTTAATTGACTTTTTCAAAGTACAAGTTAATGCTTCCATTTCAGCCTTTGCAGTCTCAGATTCTTCTTGCTTCTTGGCAAAGTCAAGATGAGATTCTTCTAGTTTATGTAAATCAAGTAGTGGAACAGAAAGAAAGGCTTCACACTGACTGAGGAGATCTGCAGTTTTTTCGACAGCTTTGTTGTAAAGCTTCACCATTTTAAAAGCTTCATCTAAAGCTCCCTGTGCAAATAAATAATTAACAGCAAAGTTATTATATAGGCTGAAAAACTATTCTCTTCTCCCAAATGTTTTCTTGAACTACAGTTCAGAGGCATACCATTGCAGCCTGATCTAACTCCATATCTGTTAGCTGGTGGACATTTTAACTGATGGTCAAAGAGCCTACAGATGCCTAGTCTCTCCTTTTGCTGTTTTTAACAATTTTCCAAGTTAAAACAGCATTGAAAAAAAAGGTTCTGCTGCATATTTCACTTGTCAGCTGTTATTTTTTTTAAAGTTGCATGATTATTATTAAATTTATAGTTAGTTTATAAGTATTTTTATTAGCCTCCATATTGTTTTTAAATGTTTTTAACCAACTTTAATTTTTTGCCACTTTAAATTGGCATTTAATAAATGCAGAAAATATTTATTTGAACGATGGAAGGCTGACAAGGTCAGGAGAAAATTATCAGAATTATCAAATTTGTTAAAGGCGGTTTAGTTCATATAGAAAACAAGTTGAATAACTTTTTATTAAAATACATATAAATCTCAACCAAATATCTATTATCAAAGAAGCACCCAGAAGCTTTTATTATTAAAACCCATCATATATTATTCTAAATAAAAATGTTAATGTGTCCCAAAATTTTTGGAGACTGGCAGTGAGAAAGACATTCCAAAGTCAAGTGCCAAATGGCAAATGGACTTGTCCATAACAGCTATCAACTTCTATAAATCCATCAAACATCTCAATAAACTGGCAGGGTCATAGAAAAGAAGCCAGTCCTTTGGATGGCAAGCCATTAACAGTCACGGATATGAATATTTTGTTACTGTACCTATGTCAGAGTAAAAGCATTGAGAAGTATCAAGATAGTCACTACAATCATTGTCAAAAATGCAAGCATTGTCAAAAATATAAGCTTTTAATAATGGACATTTTATACTGCAATGTAATGCAATACTCAGCACTGAGATGTTACTTAGTTGGGTAATGAAACATCTGCAAGGAAACAACTAAGCTCAGAGAGTTCCAAGGATTCCACAGGACATTTTATTACATTAAATTACAAATTCCTTCTAATTGTTTTAGTAGTATCACCAGTCTTTTACAAAATATCAATCTCTTTCAGTATAACTTAAGTATAAGTCACAGTGCAAGTGCAATTGTGGCATTATTAACTTATCTTGAGTGGGGGGGAGGGAGGGAGGGAGAGAGAGAGAGAGAGAATGTACAAGATCTAGAAGTAAAAACTGTTAAATGCATATCATGTAAAATATAGATGAAGAAACCATCATATTTCATAATTAATCCTTATGTGGAAGCAACCAGAGATTGCAAAGTTGTTTACAAAGAAACAAAACTGCCAAGTGTACTTACTGTATGTTTAGCAAAGTCTGCTTTCAGTTGTATTTTCAGATTTTGGAATTCCTCTATTTCTTTATCTAAACTCTCAGAATGGAGACATGCTTGTTTTGTAGATGATTTCTCTTTAGTTATTATATCTTCAGCAGCATGAATTTCTGCCTCTATAGCACCTTTAAGCACTTTGCAATACATCATTTCATAGGGAATCATTTGAATTTTCAAGTCAAGTAGGACAGGCTGCTGGAGCTCAGACTGAATCTGCTTTAAAGTCTTCAAGCTGTGGCCCAGCTTACTCTGGAAACCTTGTTTGTACTTGCTTATTTCTTGATTAGCTACTATCATAGAATGGATCATTTGTTCCAGCCCATCTATTTTTGTATCTAAGGTCTTTATTTGCTGCACGTTGGCCTTTTTGAGAGAGGTACTAAATGTCTTATTTTTCTTGAATAGCTTGAATGCTTCCTGAGTTATATATTTGGCATGCTCAACTCTCCACATCAATTTTTTTCCTGATATCAGATTGGCTTCAGAAGTTGAACTGGTAAGAGCTTTTAAATCACCACACTCTTTCTGAATAGTAGATATTATAGCCTCAATCTCACTTAGGACTATCTGATGCCTTTCATATTCTGCAAATAAATTCTTCAGGCATTTACTTTTCTTCTCAAGGTTATCCTTTGCTTTGCAGAACTGATCTTTCAGTTCATCAAGTAGTGATGTATCCCATTTCAGATCCAGCCATTTCCAAATCTCTTGGTATTGGTCCAGGTGTGATAAACGTGACTGGATGGCTAAAGTTCTCTCTTTGAACATATTCAGTTTATCTTTTATCTCTTGATTCTTAGACAGTAATTCCTCTGGACTTAGTTCCAGCTCATCAAAATAAAGATTGCTAAGATCCTGCTGCAAGGCCCTTATCTCTTCTGAGAATTTTTTATAGGCACCCATTTTGTGTTGTACTAAACGACCCTTAATTTGAATTACCCTATGGACCCTGTTTGCTCTATTTCTCAGACTTCTCCAACAATCATTTAAAAACAGTTGCTCAAAAGCATTTAATCCTTCAGATGAATTGTTGCAATTTGCATCTACAAGGGCTTCCATATACTGAAGCTTCTTGGGAGTCTTTTCTAAAAGATTCTGCATGTGGTCAAACTCAGACTTTATATTTGTTTTATCAACATCTAAACTAGACATTGTCATGATCTTCTGAAGTTGTTCTTCAAATTTCTCTATATTTGCAAAAAGTGTTTCTCTTTTTCCAAGCTGAGATTCCAGCTGCTGTAACTTCTGAGATGATTTCAAAATAAGGAATTGGTAACCAGTTTGAAACTTATGTGCAAGGATGCTAAGTGTAGAATCCTCCTTTGATGGCATGTGAGAAGCAACATGCTGGGCTTCATCTGCTAGCCTTATAAAAGTTGGCTCTTTTTCTTTAGCATCACTGATTACTGCCTTACAACATTTAATTTGTGAGAGAAGATCATCTGGAAAAAGTGCTGCCCTTTCATCAAGATAGTGCATTAAAATTTTGTTCCCCAAAATGGCATCTTCTATCTCTTTTCTTATTTCATATGTCTGGGGATGACTGTCAGATATCTGGACGTTCTCTTTAGGAGTCATTTGCTCCAGTTCTTCTACTTGGCTCTGAAGACCATTTACTGTGTTCTCTAAGGCTATTTTTCCTGGACTGCTCCACATTCTTTTCATCTGTACTTCTGCATTTCTTTTTAACAAAGAAATGTTTTGTTTAAGGATGCGCAGTTCTAAAGGAATCAATATAGGGCATGAATGCTCTTCTGTATCAAGAGTACTCAGGCCTATTTGCAAATCATGTTGCTGTTGCAAACATCTTTGGAGTTCCTGTGCTTTGTCCATGAAAAGCTTAAACTCATCCACTTCTGCTGCAACACAGAACTGTTTCTTTTGAAGGCAGTCCCCCATTTGTTTCCACCACTGCTCAGCTTGATCCACCTGGCTTTGTATTAATTCTCTGTCCAGAATGGATAGATGTCTAGATAGATTTTCTTGCTCAGTTTTCAGCTTGTTTAAAAGATTATTTTCATTTTGTACAGAAGCCAACAATTTATTCAAATTCTCTAGAAGAACTATGTCTTCCATAGGTCCCCTTCTGCAATAGAAAAATAGGTACAACTAGCTTTAATTTTTTTGTAAAGTCAATTTAATCAACATGCAATCAGTAATCAGGTATATTGAACCATATTTCATATATAGTAAATTTCATTGAAGGTCCACTATACATTGGATGTAATTACTAGGTTTGAATATGTATGTGTTTAAATATAATCAGAACCATTCAAAGGAGTGATATTATATATAAATAATACCATAGCAATAATTGTTGCAACTACAATGCTTATTCATTCCTATCTTATGTTGATGTACTAAGCCATAATAGGGTGGTTCAAATATTTATGGCTCAGCATTGTGTATAAACCATATTATTCTATGTCTATTCCAAGCCTTTTGGGATGTAACAAATTACAAAAGAAATGAAAAAGGTTCATCTCTGGTGTAACAATTATATCAGATCCAACTGATGAAGAAACCTGGTCCAGGAACTTACGTATATATGTTTTCTTTTTCTGCTAAGAAATGTTTCATTGAAGACTGAACAGTAGCAAGACATTCATGGTAGCGATTGAGTAAATTAAACTGATTCTGCTTGGCCCCTTTAACAGTTATTAATTCTTGCAGGAGTCTGTCCCAACTGGAAGAGGTAACATTGCAGGCATCCTGCTGGTCTGGCTCACTTCCTTCCACCACAGTTGAATGTTCTGGCCACACTGACAAAGCTTGAGCTTTCTTCTTTTCTAGCTGCAGATACAAATCCTATGAAAGAAAATCAGAGGGGGTAGGTGGGGCTTGTCTTGTTTTTGAAGGGATTGTTTTCATTTGTATGTCTTTCTGAATCAAATTAAATATTGATTTACCATGCTTTCTAACTACAAATGGTCAAATTCTTCTCAAAAGTCCACATCTAGGGCACCAAGGCAAGTGAAGCTGCTTAAGGGGACTTGGGCAAAATGCCCTCTGTAGCACATTCAGCTCATTATGACCATTTCCTCCATATTGTCCATGATATTTTCTATCCCCTTCTTAAATGTTTAAGGGGAAAGGACATCTCCGTATATACTTTATTCCTCCTGCCACACATAGATATAGCTTTGGATCATTTTCTCATAAAGGAACAAGTATAAATTTTCCATTCATTTGTTTAACTGCATTTTCTTTATCTATTTTTAGAACTTGTGGGGAGAACAGATCGTGTTTTAGGTCATATTTATGCATAAATGTTGAAAGTTCAAATGGGTTCATAGACTTTTAAGCACTATTATAGGTGAGGTCACTCACAGAAGCTCCTCTTATGCTATTTTAGGCAGAAGGATGCAATTGGTGGGAACCATTTGTGTTATTATCCTGTTCATGTTGTTAAAATGTTTCCATACCTCTATTTCTCTCAGTTGATCTTTCATTAATACAATATCTAACTCTGCAGTCCAGATTTTCATTTTGTTGAGCTTTTGTTCCGTCTCAGCATACTCAGCAATTGCTTGGTCTTCAGGATAACTCTGCTGGGAAATCCAAACAGGTAATTGTAATCTATGGAACAACTAATTACTCCTATATAAATCATCCAGATTATTTAATTGAAGAAAAAAGGTATCAAGTACAAATCTTGCTGGACACATCCTCTCCACTTTATTCATTGTTCTGGTTATTATTAGTGTAGTAATGTTCTGCCCAAATTCTTATAGTGTGTCAGAATCATGTTGGTCCTAATTTTATGCCAGATTATCATGTCTTCCAGACGTTCTTCATAATCTGGAACAAGGAAGTTGTGGAGTCCCTTAACTAGCCCAAGAAAGCATAACATTTATAACTCTGAGATCAATGGAAAAAGAGCTGCTTAAGGTCCATAATCCCATTTTGCCCAAGTGAATTGGGCAAAAGCAACATGCTCCCAGGTACTAAACTGCCAGGTTTCATTTTGTGTTTTTAACTAAGGTTCCTCAAAAGAGCTCACATAGTTCCAAAAAAGAAAAAATGTTTCTGGTTCAGTCCTATAACAGCAACAACAATGCATTTATAATAGAAATTAAAAGCCAAGATCAGATGACAAGAACAACATAACAATAAAAAGGAAGAAAAAAATGTGAAATTCTGCAATATACATGTATGTCTTCCTATTAATATATTAATAATTATATTAATCAAAGCCATAGCTTAAAACATACCTAATATATTGCTGATATAGTATTTTAGAAACAATACTGATGCAAAGTTAGTTAGCCAAAGAGTGCTCAGGGAAGGGTAGTACCTCTAGTGGAAGGTCCTGCCATGTCTTTTTTAGGGCTGTTTGTTCACCTTTGGTCCCCACCTGGCACTCAGCTCTCACCTGTGGCTCCAAGTAGCTGTAACTTGTACAACGGCCACACCCTGGTAAACCATCTCAGCAGATAGGCTAAATCAGATGAGGGTCTTCGACTCTCAGTGAGATATGGGATTTTTGTAAAAAGAGACTCCAGAATGGAGGAGACTGAGGCCCAACAGGCATTGTGGTGTACGAAGATTGTGACAAGACAAAACATTCTGGTCATCCACTGCAGCAGGAGAAGTCTCCAGCCGTAACCTTTCTCTAGGCCACTGAATTAAAGTCTCTTCTGCTGAGAGAGTGGGACTGCCCCCATGCAATGTCTGTTCCGATTAAACTCCATCACACAGATTTCTGTTGTGCGGTTCATCTTCAGCTGCAACTCATGTGCAAATCCTCTCAGTCCAAACCTAATTTGTTGAGTCCTGAGATGATGGGGGAGTAGTGAAGCAACAGATGTAGATGATCACTACAAACCTTCATGTGGGCAACCCTTGGACAGCGGACAGTCAGGTCTCTATCTGGGGCATCACTGATGTTTGACAGCATCCAAGGTGACTGGACAACTCTTTTAGGAGAAAACTGCCCACCCTCACATGAAGAAGGGGGTTAGAAAAAGTACCCTAAACATTGCCTGCCCCACAACAACACCTGGCTAATTAACTGTGTTTAGAAGATCACCTTAGCGGTCAAGAATCAAGAAAAAAGAAAAAAAATCATTTTTGGAACCTGGAATGTCTATACCTTGCTGAACAGAGACAAGGTACCAAGGCCTAAAATACAAACAGGGCACCATGTTGAGGAACCAGTACAGCAATGGGAATTTCAATGGAAGAAAAATATTAGGTTTATGATGAATACTGCACTTCAAATAAATTAATATAATATGCTTGTTCATTGCTGCTTGGAGCTTTTCCTTTGGTTTTTACTTTTGTGTTTACTATACAAGGTTGACATTTTGAGATGGCGATTACAGCAAGCAATTAATTGAATAAGTAAGTAAATAAATACTTCATCAGTGGTATATTACACCAGTATTAATTGCCAAAATAGACGATTTATTCTTCAAAAAATTATTGGAAATGCCCTAATCAAGTCAGAGCATTTTTCCACTTAAACTCCCTCAAATTTGGTAAATACTTTATAATAGAATAAAATAAATTCTAAAAGTTGAATTTTCCCTTCAATTTTCTTACCATTTTCTTGTTAAATATTATTAAACCTGACTATCACCTTAATAATTGTATATTAATTTGATTTTGATAAAGAACTAAATTTTAAAATGTAAGATACATAAATATGTGGAACAAACGTTATATTATTTTGATATTTTACTTGACCATTCAGTTTTATAATACTGTAGATCTCTCTACTATTCACTTACTGGTTCTTTCTTTTTTTACATTTTCTTTCCTGTTTCTCTTTCTCAATTGTAGTTTTTAAATCTCTCTCTCTCTGTGTCAAATAAAGACCTCAAAATGCACATGTGAAACTGAGAAAAACAAGCATCCTTTCAAAAGCTAAATCTTATTTTAGAAGGAATTAACAGTAAAGAGAAGTTTATCCTACTCAGTGTCACATGAACCAATATTCCTGGACCAGTGGCCCACCCTCCACTATTGGAAACTGAAAAGAGAAAGGGTGAAATTGATTGAATTATGGATTAATGGCTATCCTGGATGAAGAGCTAGCAGTGCACAGGAATAGCACTTAACAAAGTCCTTCAATGAAGTTGTGCAACAACAAAGATTATTACCTTGCTTTCCGGAGATGGATGTATAATGGACAAAGAAGTAGGGTCAGCCTCTATTACTTTTCCATTCATTAATGGCAAAATGGTTTGAGGCATTTCTGGCCAGGCACATGTTGCTTGCAATTTCTTTTGATAACCATGCTGCTGTTGCGGAGATTCATTGGGATAATCATCCGCCAGTATTTGCTCTGATTTCTGCCACTGCTTTGCACACTGACTTGCTGAACTTTGGAAATTGTGGGCTTCCATCAAATTGCCTTTCAATTCCTGCTAAATAGAAGTAGAATGAAGGAGAAAGGAGGGGGAAGAGAGAAAAATCATAACCTTCTCGGGACAGCAGGTACGGAAATGTCAATTGCTTTCTTAATGGAAAGATAGTGAAAAAATAATAGAATAAAGGGGTGGTAAAGGTCAGAGAAAAGCACATCTGTACAGACGTCTCGCCAAGGAACAATATTATGAGGATGGAGAAGGTTGCTCAAAGCTCTGACAAAATTAATTGGCCTAAAAGTTTTCTTCTTCTATTGCAGTAATCTTATAATTCTGAGGAAATGGGTCCCTACTAACCAGATTCAGTCTGTTTACTCTCTACACCACGAAGCAGCTTGACATACAAAAGGGCTATTGGCTTGTCTTTCTCTGCAGTTAAGTATTTTTGCTGCAGTTGGAGAAAGTATCCATGAGGAAAGCTCAGATCACTTAAGGCCACACTGTTCAGTGTGACAGCATAGAAAACACCTTTATCTACAAAGCTGTTTTCTATCAGAAATGGCAACAGTGGGCTAGTTTTGTAATATAATATAGAAAATGGCACATACAGAATGGCTAGACTGAATCCTTGACATCTTTTAATTAGACTGGGAAAGACTTATGCTTGAAACCATAGGCACTAACTAACAGTTTGTATAGACAATGCAAGTTAGTTATGTTAGTGCTCTGGCATTGTACCAGGGAGCTGTCTAAGTTCCTATGCTCTGACTCTATAAAAGATAGCTGTCTTTGTTCTATTTGTCCATAAGGCTCCTTTGGTCCTAGCTGCATCCACTTCCATTGGAGCAAGCAGCAATAGTTGAACGAAGCGGACATGTGGCAGCTCCTAGTACCCTACTGGCTATCACAGGAGCAGAGAAAGAGAATGCAGCAGACAGTATAATACAACTGATGTTTGCAACATGTAGAACGGTTGCTGGAATTGGGTATGTCTAGTTTAATGAAGAGAAGGACGGGGGGGTGACATGATAGCAGTGTTCCAATATCTCAGGGGCTGCCACAAAGAAGAGGGAGTCAAGCTATTTTCCAAAGCGCCTGAAGGCAGGACAAGAAGCAATGGATGGATACTAATCAAGGAGAGAAGCAACCTAGAACTAAGGAGACATTTCCTGACTGTTAGAACAATTAATCAGTGGAACAACTTGCTTCCAGAAGTTGTGAATGCTCCAACACTGGAAGTTTTGAAGAAGATATTGGACAACCATTTGTCTAAAATGGTATAGGGTTTCCTGCCTAAACAGGGAATTGGACTAGATAGAAGACCTCCAAGGTCCCTTCCAACTCTATTATTCTGTAACAAATGTACAATAGTGACATTGGCCCTATGGTATGAAGCATCTTTAACACACTATTCCCATGGATTTGATAGAGTTCCCAGAGAAGGAGCAGGATTGTTCAGCTTTTCACAAGTTGAACCTGAGGAAAAACACCCAGTATGGCAGATATAAGCAAAGTCATTATCCAATGCTGATGGTTCTTGTACTGTTTATCTTAGTTCTGAGTATTTTTCTACTGTGTCTTGTCTGCTGCAACTATTCTATAACTACCTTGCTTGCCTACCTCTTGAATTTATTTCATTAATTTATATAGATAGTATTATGGATTATATAGCTTGACCAGTACCAGAAGAATCATGAAGGTCTCAATTATGAACAGCTTTGCATTTGTAAACTTTCACTCTGCTTTAGTTTCCCCAATTATACTTTGCATATTCCTGCTTATCTAAAGACTATGGGCTTGCTGCCAAAAAATTTATAACTCCCCTGGATAAGACATTAACTCGGTGCCAAAACCATAACAAAATAGGAGAGGGCATTTTATTTGGTGGGGAATGCAAGCTACACATCTAGACTGCAAAAATTTGGTGTTAAGAGTGGTCTGCATCACTTTGTTGCCTTCTGTTGGTTATCCAATTTTTGTAGCCTGTTTGTTTGTTTATTTATTTATTTAAATTTATCACTCCAGCAGATTCTGGGTATATTAGAAAAACTAATTCTAATTAAAACAGTTAAAAGCAAAAACAACCCCACAGCACGACAGCCCCAACAACATATTTATCCCAGGCCTAGGACCAAAGCCAGCCTTTAAGGGCTTTTCAGAACCAAGGAGAGTGGGTGCCATCTGTATCTCTGAGAGGATGCTTATTCCAGGGGGCAGGAGCAGCCACAGAGGTGGCACACTTTCCAGGTACATTTAATAGAAGAGACCAGGAACATACATACTTTGCCCAAACATACTGGCGGCATATTAGTCCTAAGAAAGCCCACAGGAATGTTTTTTTCACTATGATCTCAAAAATACAGACAGGCACACAAGGAGACAAGAGATCCATCTAGCACTATGGTCTAAGGCCATGAAGAAATATGAAAATCAAACCAACAGTTTGAACTAGGTCCAGAAAAGGGCCAAGAGCCAATGGAGATGACAAAATGCTGGCATGATAAACTCATAATACCAATCATGGCTCTGAGATGCTTCCTTTCTTAGCAACAGCAAGAGGCAATAATCACAGCAGTGGAGGCACCAACTCAGAATATGAGTTTGTCTCTCAATCCATATGTCACTTGTTTACCTGCTCTTCCTCCTGCTGCTGGGAAAGAAAATGCAGTGGAGGGTTACAATCTTCTTTCATCTCAAGATCTGTGGGACATTTTTCTCTTCCCACTGGAAGAGTGGGAGGAGAAGGTGATAGCAGCAGGCTAATTCCTAAAGCACAGCAATGGTAAATTTGTTGCTATGGAAGAGATGGGCTAATGTTTTCAGAAAGGACTCGAAGCACATTCACTCAGTGCTCGTCCTTTTATAGATGTCCTTAAATACATGAAGATGCTATGGAGAATAAACCAATTGGTCCATATCCTATAGAACTTTATAGAAGAGTGCAGGATTTGGTATCAGGAAAGGATTGTCCACAGACTTTTATTTAGGTACGTGGCTGAAGAACATTGAATTAGAAAACCCTACTTATTACTTTCAGAGGAGTTATTCAGGACAGTTAAATTGTGTCTGAGTGCTGCACATTTTCTATAATGATGCTTGCTCTCTGATTATCTATCAGCTATATTCTGGGAATAAATAAACCAGATATTTCAAAATAAAGAAACAGCAAACTTATAAGGAAAGAAACAGGAATATACATGTGACTGTAAAGTCATATCCCTTACTAATCCAGGTCTCATCATTCCAAAACATAACCAGTATTTTATGGAAACGGCACAAATCCACCCTTTCAAAACCATTCTATCAAATGTTTGAAAGTAAGATTGTCAGGGAGAATAAAAGATTACCCCAGTAACTGCAGCTGCTCTCTCCTCAGATTCAAATGCTAAGGAGCTTGGTAATTGTACTTTATTTGTCAACCATTCTGGAAAGAATTCTGGAGCTTCTCTGTCCAGTGGATTTTTCACTCTGAAGGAATTTTCCTTCAAAAGACAGAAAAATTAAATAATTAAGTCAAATGAAGATTGCAGAAGAAATTGGAGAATTATTATATGTCATCTCCATATTCACATTCATATTATATGAATTTGTACTATATTACAATATATATTATATTCATATTCAGAATATAGTATGATAATAATAGCCAAAGGTCCTCAAGATCTGGATGTGCTATCAAGGCCTGGGAAGCCCAGAGAACTGGCATATAGTAAGACAGCTCCGTTATTATTAACATACTTTTATCCTTTTTTTAAAGTTGTGTTCTATAATTTTTAATGTTTTTAATAACTGTTATTATTTAGGAATGATTATTTTTTAACATGTTGTATGCTGTCCAGAGTCACTTGTTTTGTGAAATGAATGTCTATATAAGTTTGAAAAATTAATAAATTAATAAGATCTAGAACTTTTAACCCCTGAATGATGTTTATTGTACAAAACGTCAAAAGAATATGACTGCAAGTCTGATTAAAAAGGTAAAAAAAAGAATGTTGCATTATATCTGGCAACTTTCCAATTCTGGCTCCTGACCTTTCAGAGTAGTAAATTACATCTTTTTTATTTAGTTTATTTATTATTAGACTTCTATGATGCCCATTTTGCAGAGGCGACTCACTTAATCCCAACATTTGCTAAGTAATTGTAATTTCACTGAAAACTACTTACACATCTGTGTTTTACTTCAACAATGCCTTATTTCTGTGTTTTTAGCACAGAAGAAAATACCTAAGCATGCATTGCTTCTAATACTACTCCGGACTTCTAAACAAAAGCCTGCTTCTGATCAGCTCTAAAGATTACAGAGGAAGATTTATCTACAGTATTTACTACCCTGTACTTCAATTAAAAATAAAAGCTCCAGGCAGGCCTATAAAGCACAATTTTATTTTTTTAATAAATGATATTAAATGACTTTTGCTAAACTCCTTATTTCCTATATAAAGTTCAATTAAGAATATTACTAAATACTAAACCCCAAAATATTACTAAATATTACTAAATTTCTTCCACACAACTAATCTCTTGAGGAACAAAGGGGATGCTAGAAATTACCGGTTTCTCTCTGTTTGTTGTTTCATTATCCATCTCCTTTCTGGTCAGTATTTTATATTCGAGTATATCACTATGGATGTCCTCAGCCTCGTGCTCAAGTCCATATTTTGTTTTAAGGTGCTTCGGCTTAAGTTGGGGTGCATCTATCTCATCTTTCGTACATGTTTGTTGCAATCTGTTGGAGTCCATTAGAGCAACAACTTCCTGTAGTTTGTCTTCAGCTTGACAAAGAATATCATACTGTATCTTAAGTGAAAAAGGAAGGCAAGAAGATAATAATGACAGAGAATCTGCAGTTAACAATCTTATCGCCCTCTATAAATATGCAAACAGAGAGAATAAAATAGTTAGGATAAATCACTCATGAAATTTTTCATAAAGTATTTTGACAGTTCATAAAGAAAAGTAAACAAAAGGCAACTTTTTTGTCAGAGATCATGCTTGTTCTCTGATTTGCATAGAAACCGACATCCATATTCATTTAAATACATAAAGTCCTCAACTTACAACAGTTCATTTAGTGACCATTCAAAGCTACAACAGCACTGAAAAAAGTGACTTATGACCATTTTTGACATTTATGATCATTGCAGCATCCTCAGGGTCACATGATCAAAATTCAGGCCCTTGGCAACTGACTTGTGTTTATGACGGTAGCAATGTCCCAGGGTCATGTGATCACCTTTTGTGACCTTCTGATGAGGTCAGATTCACTTAACAACTGTGTTACTAACTTAACAACTGCAGTGATTCCCTTAACAGCTCTGCCAAGAAAGGTCATAAAATGGGGCAAAATTCACTTAATATCTGTCTCGCTTAGCAACAGAAATTTGGGATCGTAAGTTGAGGACTGTCTGTAAAAGAGAAAGCACCAGGCTCCCAAAGGAACGCGCATTCGGATCTACCTTCTTCAATGAAATGAGTGAGAGGTCACATGAGCTTTGGTGCTGCTCATAAGAGATTGACACCAAATTGCTTTAAAAAGAATATCAATTACTTTTACTTGATTCCCAGCTGACTTATCTGACTACTAGATAAGTTATGTAAGATGACTCAGTTGTGTAAGAAAGCAGCCATGGAGCACATAGGAAGACGGTTTTTTTACCCTTGTTCAGTTAATTGTTCATGTGGCAATCTAGAAAGCACTTGACATTGATAAAAATTCTGCACCAACAATCAGTCATAAATAAAAATATGTGATTCATAAAATTCTAATTTTCAATATTTCTGTTTCTTGTTTTATCAATCATTATTTTTATTCAGGGAAACACTGTTGTCCAAATTTCCTTACTCCCTGAATTTAGCTCTTCATTAAGGTCTTTGGCAAGGGAGAGTGAGACCCCCCCCCACTTCATTGTGCTTGCTGTCTTTTGTCTTTTATGTGTAATGGATTTTATTGTAATTTCTTTGATTTTTTTTGTGAGCCATTCAGAGTCTCAGTATTCGGAGGCACACAAGTTTAATATGTTATCATTATTATTACATTGCTACTCTTTCTAATTCATTCATTTTCAAATTCGCTGGAAACAAAATTTCTCCTGACCTGTTTTTGCTCTGCACCCACAGGCTCCCACAGCTCCTCTAGGGAAGTTATCAAAAGGGTTGTCAACTCTTCACACTGCTGGTGCCCCTCTACACAGCCTTCCAAGAGGTTTGTTGTATTCTGCAATTTAAGGAGAAACTCAAGATCAAAACCAACATGCATAGATAGTTGTCCAATATAATAAAGTATTTTCTGCAGACTGTTAAGACTTCTCCATAGAAATAGCATATTATCTTCCTGAACCCATATACAAATAAAAAAATATTTTACAAATATATACAATATTTTATTTATTAAACAAATTTACATAGTTGCCCAGAATCATTGTGTGAGAGTTAGGCAGCTATATAAATTTAATAATTAATTAAACTTTTACAAATAAATAAATAAAATAAAATAAATATACCCAACTGGTAATTGAAATGACATGGTCTAGGTCCCATTTCATCCTATCCTACCTGTTTGTTTGAATCAAATCTAATTCCACATCTAATGAACATTTATATTACAAAAAATACACTAATAGAGTTTCATTCTGGATCTTCCAGATCAATAATCTGTCATGATGCCAACCTGTAATCGGCTAAGAAGACATTTGTAGAGATGCTGTAAAGCCATCGATGATTCTGCACTCAATTTATTAGTGCATGTCTCCAAAGAACTGCGTTGTTTTGTTAGTTCATTTAAGAGAGGCGTTAGGCCTTCAATTTCTTTCAGAAGTGCAGAATAATTGTTTAACTGACTTTGTACTTCCTGTGAATTGGGATGAATATCAACATTAAAGCCTTGCTCCTGCTTCTCTACTTCATAAAATAGCGCTTTGATGGCATCTTCTGTCTGCTTCACATGTTCCATTTGATGCTGGAGTTGTTCCTGGTCCCTTTGACGGAAGAAAAAATCAATATCAGTTTAACAACTTACCACTGAATATGTAGGAGAACAAAATGACAAACTTATTGTAATGTTGAAAAGCAAAAAGTTTGTGTTTGTCACAAGAACAGAGTAGAATGCTAAATAAGTTAATAGATATAGTATACATACAACCTTAAAATACATTTAATCATCAACTTCTGGGGTCCTTGCCTTCTTTACCAGATCTTTTTGTAATTAAATTTGTTCTTTTTAAAATTAATTTCATTTTTATTCATTTTAATGGCCCTCATTTGCCTTGAGAAACCCATATGCAATAAAGGAATGGGCTATATTTTAATATAAATAAAGAAAAAAATGTATTTATAATTTTTTTGTAGTGATTAGTTAAAAGTTTCCAGCCAAAAATCTTCAGTTTTCCACCAATTTCAGTAATATTATCTGAGTGGAGAGTTTCTGGAGGACTTTTACACTGGATGATGTTATTATAGAATGGCTCTGCTGCATTTTCAACTCAGTGGAAATTTTCATGGTGTAATCTAGGCTACTTACCTCAGACAGCCAATAACCAGATGAATAGTGGAGTCCCACTTCTTTTGGACATTAGAAACTATCTGTTGAATAGCTAGGTTCTTGCTGTTATCGTCACACTTCAAATGTTCTCCAACAGCTATGATAGTCTGCAGTTTAGCATTGCCCTCCTCTTTCAGCAAAGCAATCTCCTGTATTGTAAGAAATAACATGAAGATAATTGATTTTACTCACTGTCTTTGACCTAGCACCCAGGCCAAATAACATGTAAAACTATCAAGAGAAACAATGCCTTTTTAAAAATCAATTAACTGTGGTTCCAATTAAACCTCATACAATGAAAATTAATAAACCGCTTTCAGTTCTTTTGTAACTCCCTAAATAACGGAAGACATTGCCAATATTGGAGAGAGTGGGAATGGAAAAAAAATAGGAGGAGGAAGATGAGTTGGATATGTTCGCTGCCTTGAATTATTTGTAAAAATAATAAAAGCAGGATGCAAATAAATAAATCAAATATATAAAATGATTAAATGCTTATTAAACCTATAAAGTGCTTTTGTCAGGAGCTAGTAATCAGGAACAAGAGTTGAATTCAAAGCACTGTTTATTACAGGCTATCTATACACAAGAATCTGATCTACTAACAGTCAAGCCAAATTGGTGCCAGATAAGAATCAACAGAATTTACAGGCGGGAGGGGGGGGGGGCTGGACTTGAGTCTCTTGGCAGAACACAATGACTCCAAACTGGCAACCCCGCCATTATGCTTAGCCTGCTCACCTTCTACAGCTTTGACACTGAAATACCATAATACTATTTTGCTATTTCACTAGTTTAATTCGTGCTAGTAAAAGTTAAGGGTTCTGAAACATGGACTGATTATAATGAAAAACTGACAGAATAAGGGGTTCTAAATGTGGGAAAGACCACTAATTGACAATGTTGCCAAGACAAGATCTCAGAGGAAAATAGATATTGAACAAAAATGCTGACTCGTAAGATTGGACAGAGGCGGTATGCTCTTGATCTCATCTATTAAACAATGCCATCTGATGGAACCTAGAAAGCACGCCTTCCCTATTGTGGTGCCTGAACTCTGGGACAGTATCATTCTAGAAGTTTCAGCATCCCTGTCCCTCCTATCCCTTCAGTTAGCCTTGATGCCTTAACCTTAAATGAGTTAATCTGGATTAGGGTGGGGTATACACCTACTTGAACTAGATTATGTTTATTATGTCTCTCTTCCCTCTGGCTATGGACATATTTTTGCCACCAAGAGTCATTGTGAGTTGAGTAGCCTTGTGAACTTAAATGATTTAATAAAGAACATCAAAAAAGTAGAAGGAAAGCAAGTGTTTGTAAGAGACTAAATTAGTCTTTAGAGAGCATTAATGGAAAGTGGACTCACAAAATAAAATATGGAAGTTGCTCAGAAAAGAATAAAAATAATTATATTGCAAAGTATGTTATGCACAATAGTGGAAAGTACCAAAAAGGATGAGGATACAGATGAAAGAAAAAAAATATGCATTTAAGAATGACTGTTGCAAGAATGAGGATGAAACAAAGATATTGTATGATGTATATACACAGAAAAGATAGCTTTCTATTTAACATCTACATGAAACTGCAGGGACAAGTTATCTGCTGGCCTCAGATTCAGTATTATTACTGTGCTGATGATACCCAATTACACATTTTGACTCTGGTCTGGCCAGGTGATGCTGTCAAGATCCTCTGTCAATGTCTGGAAAATGTTTGGCCTTTGGTGGGGAAGGACAGGCTTTGGCTCAAGCCTGACAAGACTGGGTGTCTGAGGCTGTTTTCATTTTCTGAGCTTGGAGTGGTTCCATCTTTGGTCCTGAATGTAATTGTACTTCCCCTTTTAGGACTGGCATGCAGGAGCTGGTGACAACTATGCCCAAGGCAGCCTTTGTACAAATTTATCTGATGTACCAGGTATGCCTATATGCTCACATAACACTGTACTTTGTGGCTGTACTAGTTGTCAATATGCTTCAGGATGCAATTCAAGGTTCTGGTTATCACCTATAAAGATATGACTTTGATTATTTGAGGGTTACTTATCCATGGTTTTGGCCTGTCCTATACATTTTAACATACCCAGCACGCTGTGGGTCCCATCAATTAAACAATATCAACTATTGGGATGCAGGAAGCAGGCTTCTCTGTCTTATTGTGGTCTGCCAGAACACCATTCAATCTGAAATTCAAATGCCCACCTCCACCTGGCCTTTTTTTAAATAGACCTTTAAACCTGGCTCTGTCCCAGGCCTCAGAATAAGTGATTGATCTCTTCTGGAATATTTTAATTGATTAACTGACTGCTTCTTTCTCCAGACTTTCTTTGTGACTTATGTATTCAATCTTTTATTGGTTTTTTTTTTACAAATAAATAAATAGCTTCAAACAGAGCATGGAATGATTAAGACTAAAATTCAAGAAAAATGTCAAGCAATTTTTTTAAAAAAGTTTTTGAAATGAGAAAGGACTAAACAAAGAATTATTGGATGGTTGTTTTATTAATAACATATAGAGCTTTAAGTATGTCTTCGTACCTGGATTTTGAACAACCTTTTTTCCAGTGATATCTCAGATTCTTCAGCACTCATCTCCAGGATAGGCTTTTTCAGATTTTCCACCCAGCAAAACATGTTCCTGACAAGTTCTTCAAAATGATTTCTTTCTACACAATACATCTCAGAAACTCCAAGGGTTTTCTGTACATGATTAACCAACCTCTTGTATTTACTGACAAAATGGGCAGATTCTAGAACTGCTTCATCATTCAAAAATCCTGAATTTTTCAAATAATTTGCCTGGTGATCAAAAGAATCAAACCACTCCCTGTAAAAGAAAAACAATTATGTGAAGTTTAATTGTCATCATTATTCCCCATGCTTTACCGATGACATCATTCGTTAAATGTTATTAGAACTGAGCAAATTGAGTCAATTATCAACCTTCATAGAAGACAACTTTATATCAACTTTTTTCCAACTGATCAAGACAGGATGACCCAACATTTAAAATCACACTCTTTGCATTCTTCTGCTTTGTCACTGCATTCAATAGTCATTTTTTTCAAAATAGATAGAGATTGACAACTACAACTCAAAATCATTATATTTACTCTTTTACCTATGTGGGGAAATATAATACATTTGTGTTCAATTGTGAATATCAAAACTTTGAAAATACGTTTTTAGACAGGAACATTTTCAGTAGAAAACCTGAGCATGCCACTAAAACTAGCTCTCAAGAGTGGAACAGAGTTAAGTGAGCTGCTATAGCTTAGACAAAATACCTTTGTTTGAGTAGAATTTGATAAAAATGTTCAAGTCCTGTCTTCTCTTTTTGAACTTGTTGCCATTTTTCTTCTTGAATTCTTAGCCACTTCTCCAGACTCTTAAAGTCCTTTTCAAGCCTTCAAAGAAATAGAATAAATACTTACAAGAAAATCCTGTTAAGCTGTAAAAAACCCATGAACAGTAACACTTAATCTGTACAGTAAATTAATCTTGAGTCTAGTTCATCAAGCCTACCTATTAATACATTTACTTATTTAGTACTGTAGGAGGAGGAATGCATCAATCTCAGAACTAGATCTTAAAAGTCCACCTAATCACTCTGGATCACAATATATTTGGGGCAAACTTAATTCATTTTGGCTTCTTACCTAGCAAACTGTTGAAGAAAGAAGTGAAGCTCAATTTTTCGTGCCTGACATTTGGAAATTATTCTTTGCAATTCCACTTCTTGGTCCCTCACCCAGTTACTCAACTGATGGATGTTTGGTTTGGGCAAATAGTTCTTCACCTGGTTCAGAACAGTCTTCACCTCAACAATATCACTGTCTTTGTCTTCAAAATTTAGGAAACTCTGGAGAAAAAAAACCACAATGAGAGATATATCCAAGATCAGCAATATCTTTTAGCTGGTGCAGTTGTTTAATACGTTTTATAGTTTGCTTATCTATCTATCTATCTATCTATCTATCTATCTATCTATCTATCTATCTATCTATCTATCTATCTATCTATCTATCTATCTATCAATGGGGGCAAGGGGTTCAAGTGGGCTTGCTGATTATATACCTGGCTCCCTGCTATGTAACAGCAGCCCTGCCTGAGCTGGCCGATGTGATAGCCGGGGTGGCGGTTGGGACCCCCAGACTTATGGTTCTGGGGGATTTCAACCTTCCATCGGCGGGTGAGACGTCGGCAGTAGCTCAGGAGTTCTTGGCTTCCATGAC